TCTTCAGAGGGGGGAATGTTAAAGTAAGCAAAAAGCCCGAGGGGGGAGAGACAAAATGAATACATGAAGTTGTAAGAAAGTGATGGGGAGATATGGGGAGTGTTGAAGGAGAGGGAGTGGTCATGGATTTGATCAAAACACCTTATATGCATGTATGAAATTCTTAATAAAGCTTTTTAAAAGTTAAAAACAAAAGGAAGCAAGCCATGTCTTGAGAAATTCTAAAACATATATTTGTGGAGTACAGTTATGTACCACAATGTTCCTAGCCAGAAGGAACACATGACAGTGCTCACTATCCCTCCCTGCTTGCTGTAGTCAAAAACCAGGCCAGCCTGGCCTACAAAATGAGTTTCAGGCCAGGAGGCCAGCTGGGGCTAAGGGAGACCCTGTCTCAAAAAGGCCAAAAAATAAAAAATAAATATTTTAGTCTTAGATTCTCTCTCATATTAGCACTGTCATAATTCTTGAAGATTTCAGTAAACAGAGAGAAAGCCATCCCTTAAGTCTGGCTGCTCAGTTTTTTTGGGTCCTCTTCTGCAGTTGTCTTGTCCTTTACCCTCTCTCTATCATTCACCCTCACAAATAGAATAAATGACCAGAGAAAAGCGCAACCACAGTACAATGGAGTATCTCTACAAATTCATGCTCACATTTGTCTAGCAAGTCTTCAGGCACATAGAAAACATATATAGTATATCCAAACTGCATTTCATCCTCATTCTCTGACATAACAAATTTTTAATATATCTTCCCTTTTATCAGACCTGCATCTTCCTATCACATTCTTACTCTGAGTTAAAAGAACTCCTCAAAGAGTAAAAACAAAACAAAACAACAACAACAAAAAAAAAAAACTACCAAAGCTTTTCTAGCAACCTCCATGGGTGGCAGATTATACTATTTTCTCGCCTGCTTTCATGAACAATCTGTTGTCTCTAGAGAGCATCAGACTGTTGACTGTTTCAGAGGCACAGTATTAGTCACTTTTCTGTTGCTGTGATAGAAACACTGACTGAAGCAATGTACAGAAGGAAAAATTTATTTGAGCTTACAGTTCCAGGGGAATTACAGTCCTTCATGGCAGGGAGGCATGGTGGCTGGAGGTGGCTGGAGCAGGAGCAGCAGAAGCTAAGCTCAGGTACAGGAAGCAAGAGGGCAACCAGAGATCTGGCAAGGCTTAAGAATTCTCTAAGCCCACCCCCAGTGACGTGCTTCCTCCAGGATAACCACACCTTCTAAAACCTCCCAAAACAGCACCATCATCTGGGGACAAAATGTCCAAGCACTTGGAGCCTATAAGGGACATTTTCATTCAAACCACCACAGGCACCCAACCCATATTCACTAAAGAACATTACTCCAGCAATTGCTGCTTGATTGCATCATCTATTGTCTCCTCTCCAGTAGATCAAGAGCATCACCAAACAAGCATTTGCAGGGCTATTCCCACAATTTTTTTTTTTTTTTTTTTTTTTTGGTGTTTTTGAGACAGGGTCTCCCTGTAGCCCCAGTTGTCCTGGAACTCACTATGTAAACCAGGCTGGCCTTGAACTCTCAGAGATCCACCTGCCTCTGCCTCCTGAGTGCTGGGATTAAAGGCGTGAGCCACCACACCCAGCTTATTCCCACAATTTTTAAAAGAACTTGGACTCTACTTCCTTAACCAGCTACTGGTCTCCCCATGCCTAAGATTTCACTTATAATGAAACATCTACAAAGACTTTCCTTTTTCACTAATTCCTCTGCTGTAGTTTTGGTTTTGTTTTGGATTAAATCACTTTCTTTGCTTCTTTGTTTCTTCGAGTGGGGGGAGTAGTGCAGATTGGACCCGAGGCTTGGGTAGAGGCTAAGCACTCTACCACAGAGCTACAATTCTAGCCCCCATCTTCATTTTCATAAATCCCTTTTAGTTTGCACGGAAAAATAAACAAATTTACCCCTTTAACTATTTGCCAGTATATTCATTGGTTTTAAGTATACAGTGTTGTATAACTGGCCTCACTATATATTCCCAGAACTTTTACATCATCCCAGAAACTCTCTACCCATTAGTATTAACACCTCACTCCCAATCCTACTAGCCTCTGAATCCTCTATTCGATTCTCCATATTTATTAATTTCCCTATTAAATATTTCATAAGTAAAATCAAATACTATTTGTGTCTGGCTTATATTACTTAGCAAAGTTTTTCACACGCATGAGAATTTTATAACTTTTTATGGATAAGTAATATTCCATCATATGTATATGGGATAGTTTATTCATTTATCAACTAATAAACATTTTAATTGTTTTCAGGTTTTGGCTACTGAAAATGCTGTCACTACGAATACGAGTTTGTTGGAGTATCAAATTACAATTCTCTTGGGTATGCATGAGAAAACTGCTAGATTCCATAGTTATTCTATTTAACCATCTGAGGAATAAACTATGTTCCACAGCAGATACACCATTTTATATTTCCAACAATCCTGCCAATTACTTCTAAGCAATTCCAACTGAGAGTTTATGAGTGACACTGTGTTAGACTTTCTGTCTTGTGAATGACACTTGGAAAAAGAAGGAGGATAATTTCCTCTATTAACAGTTTCCTATTATGGCAGGAAAGCCATGCAGAGAAAAGCAGATAAATCACCTCAACCAGGAAGCAGAGGGAGAAAATGCCTATTCCAGCAGGCTTTCTCCTTTGCCCCTTCAATTTATCTGAGCCCTCAACCGATGGGATGCTGCCACCCTTACACAAGGTAGGTCTTCCTCCAGACACAAACAGAAGTGTGCTTTGCTAATCCTCCAGTTCTCAATCCAAACACCTTAACAATCAAGATGAACCATCATGAATCATTACTCTATCAAGATCTCCAATTTCCACATAAATTCAAAGCTGCATTTTCAAAAATGACTCATTCTCTCCTCTTTAAAATATGGGTGACACTTACCTTTCTGACAAAAATCTCTTGGCTTTCTGTTTAATCACTTATTCTGTTTTCCTGGATTTTTTTCCCCCAACTCTTCGATACTAATGTGATCTTAGAACTTCTCCTTTTCCTTCTGTATAAATTCTAGTATAGTTAATAAATTCTAAAATAGTTAGTAACTAGTCTCATGCAGCTAAATAGTCGCATGAGACTCTGAATCAAATAAATATTTGCTGTACAAATTAAAATACTGTTTATAGATGGTACATGTACAATATAGTAGAAAAGGCCAGGGCTGGAGAGATGGCTCAGTGGTTAAAAGCACTAGTTACTCTTGCAGAGGACCCAGGTTCGATTCCCAGCTCCCACATGGTGGCTAACAACCACCCATAAATCCTGTTCTAGGGCATCCAGCCCCCTCTTTTGACCTCCTGGACACTGCATGGCACAAGTGCACTTACACACATGCAGACAATACACTCATATACATAAAATAAAAATAATAAATAAAATACTTTTTAAGGAAAGAAGAAAAGCCAGGAAACAAATAACAAAAAATTCAGGCTGAGTTATATTTGAAAGGAATGGAAGGCAAAATATTCTCAAAGACTATATAAGAGGTACCAAAGTACAAGTTACTATATTTAAGTAACTAGTTTAAATGTTTACTTTTATTCACTATGAACACATTAATACTATAATTTTTATATACATTTTATATTAATTTTTAATGAAGAAGTTGTCGAAGTATGTTAAATACCATTGAAAATATCAGAAGAGATTTTTTTAAAACTTGGACTGTCTTAGAGAAGAAAAAAGTCCTTTAAAAAAAACTAAAAATGTTAGCAAAAAAGTAGCAAGGGACTTCTTGCAGGCAAATGGTGGGAATGGAAATTCACATGGCCATATGGCCAGTACTGTGGAGATGCCTCCAAAATGAATACTCTAACTACCATATGATTCAGTTAGCCCACTGAAGATATGTATTTATATATTCAAGGAAAATGAAATCAACATACTAAAGACATGCCCATATTTATCATGGCACTATTCAAAATAGCTAAAATACGGAATCAGCCTAGAAGTCCATGAACAGACAGGTTAATTGTTAAATTATATTTGTATTTACTTTGAGAATTTCATAAATGTATTTTGATCATATTCAAAGCTCCCTCCCACATCTACATAATAGAGTAGTACTCAATAATAGAGAATAAAATTCTGAAATTTGCAACAAAATGGATGGAACTTTGGAACCTTACATTAAGTGAAATATCAGACACAATAACAACAGTAGGGCATGTCCTCTCTCATAGGTAGAAGCTAAAAAGAGTCAACCTAAAAAACAGTGATCACTAGAGATTAAGAAGGTTGTAGTAAAGGGTTAAAAAAAAAAAAAAGGTGGCCAGCTCTTGATACTTGCTACATACATGTGCAAAAACATCACTTAAACCTCATCAATATGTATAATGGTGTAAATAAACCATACTATAAAGGAGATTACAGAAACAAGACAGCTATTATATTTTTAAGGGTTTTTTCTGGTTTTGGGGTTTTTTTTGTTTTGTTTTTTTTGTTTTTTTGTCTTTTTGAGACAGGGTCTCCCTGTAGCCCCAGCTGTCCTGGAACTCACTATGTAGACTAGTCTGAGCATGGGTTTCTGCATGTAAGTGTAGGTGCCTGCAGAGGCCAGAAGAGGAAGTCAGATCCCCTAGAGCTGGAGTCACAGGTTATAGGCTGCATAATGTGGGTGCTGGGAAACAAACTGAGGCCCCAGCTACAAGATTTTTTAATATGCGCTTCTTTGCTAGAAGTATTAAAGTATATGCCAAATGAATGACTGAGTGTGGGGGCGAGGGAGTATACATGATGTAGATAAGAAGGAAAAGTGGAGACAACTTTAATAGGAAAAAAAGAATCACAAGTCAAGAATTCAGTTAAAATGATCATGCAATTTTGAAGAAGTATTAGGAATAGGCATCCCCAAAAAACTTTTATTAAGCTACAATGTTACTAGCAATCAAAACTTTGAACATTAAAGTTGACAAAGATATGAGGATGAAGAAAAAAATAAACCTACTTTGAACGTCACAGTGGCCTTTGTGCAGTAAAATCCTACAGAAACAATAGGATCCTTCAAAGTTTGTGCTTTTTGCTGATGCATGGTCGATGTAGGGTCATTTCCAAGGTAGTCTTCCTCACCATCATCATAACTCACAATTGCAGGCACAAATGACCAGGCCCAGGACACCCATCCCTGTGGCTCCTCATCATCTTGTGAATACAACTCTTGACCTCTGTACTGAGCAGGATATTGTATATCTATTCTAGTTTCATCTTCAGTACCTGCCAATCAAAAGCAAGCAATTTTAACAAAATCAAGAGGATTTAATTATGAAAAACTGGAATATAAATCCCTTAAACATATTCCTCTTGCTGACTACAGTGGTGCACATCTTTAATCCCAGCAGCAGGGAGTCAGAGGCAAACAGATTTCTGTGAGATCAAGGCTAGCCTGGTTTATATATCAAGTTCCAGGTTTGTGTCCCCTACCACACTGATAAACCCAACTGAGAGAGAATAGCAACTGCTTATAAGCAAAATTCACCGATCAAGACAAGAACTAATCCAATGAATGAAAGTAACTGCTACAAAGAAATTATTAGCAAGTAAAATATATTCATTTCTATCCTATTCTGCCAATGGAAAAATAAATACAGCAAAGAAACTTTACTGGCTATGAACTGATAGACTAAAGATTTAGATTCCAAGTACTCTTTAACATATTTCTAAGATTTTAAATTACACATCATCAGTCATAAATTGGACATCAGTTGTGAAACAAGAAATCAGATTCCTGCAGTAAGGAAAACAGTGGCCAGGTTGGCACCACAGAGCAAGTTGCTGGTCTTGTCTACACTACAAGAGGAGGTTCTACTCCTTCAGCTCTTTAAGCAAAAAGGGAAAGTCACTAAGAAAGAGCTGACATCCAGGCACTTAAACTTTAATTTTGTTTTATCTAGCATGAAAATAAAAGAGAGAGATTTTGATGAAAAATCATTCTGAAGTTCTGAATCTGTACTCACTGGCTTACTTTAAAAAAACAAACAACAACAACAAAAAAAGCATGGAAAAGAACAATACAATTTCCTGATTGCACCTTAATCTGGAGGCCCTCTGACAGAATTCAGAAATATCCAAATTTTTGAGCTGGAGAAATGGCTCAGAGGTTAAGAGCACTGGCTGCTCTTGCAGAGAACTCAGGTTCAGTTCCCAGCACCCACATGGCAGCTAACAACTGTCCATAACTCCAGCTCCAGGGGATTCGATGCCCTCTTCTGTCTTCCGCAGGAAATGTACATCACACATGTATTTACATGCATGCAGGCAATACACGCTCATACACATAAAACAAAAGTAGTAAGTATTTTTAAAAACTTTCCTTTCCATTTAAACAAACAAAAAAAGAAATATCCAAAATTTTAACAGGAAAGCTCTATGTTGGGGCAAGCCAGATGGTTCGGCAGGTTCAGCCTTTGCCATGTAAGCCTAATGACCCAAGTTTGATCCCCAGAACCCACACAAAGTTGGAGGGAGAACCAAGTCCACAAAGTTGTTCTCTGACCTCCACACATGCACTGTGGCATGAATGGCTACACATATACATCATACACAAACACAAAATACATCAAACGCATATATATCATACACAAACACAAAATAAATATTTTAAAAGATAAATATTGATACTAAGCATTTAACTAAAATATATCATTCTGTCAATTACAAATATAGGTAATAAGCCACAGCTGTTTTAGCCATACCTATGATTCTAACACCTAATAAAAATCAAGGATATATCAAATAACAATTGTGATGTTATCTCAAGACATCATACAAGGGCTAGGGAGATGGCCCAGTCAGTAAAATGCCTGCCAGACATGCATGAGAAAGATACCTGGTGTTGACATTGGGCCTCGTATGAACCCGTACACAAATATCACATTAGATACTATATACTTCAATTTACTGTATTTTTTTCAAATTTTTGAGTATCAAAACAATAGTTCTAAATTACATTTCTGTTACTCTTACCTGTGATGTTTCCTAACACATCTTTACTGTGACAGGTAGGGTCCTCTGTTTCACCTTCTTTAAAATTGCCTATTTCTCCATAATAAAGAGCAATTCCAAGCTGCATTATACGGATAAACATAGGCAACTGCTGATCTGTGATAGAAAGTTTCAAACTCTCTACTAAGGTATGAATCTGTAATTTGAAAACACAAAAGCATCATCAGAAAACATGATTAAAGGGGAAAATACCTTTTAAGGTAGCAGATCAATTTAAAGTCTTAAAATGCAGTATAATTTTAAAAAACAACATGTCTCCAGTATTTCTAATAATTAAACCAAAATAATATTTACTGCTGGGAATTAAACAACATTTGCTGTGATGAATAAACTTTAGATGTAAGCCAGACTAAGCCAAATAAGATAGAAACAAATAGAATAATCACAAGATAGATTCATATTGGATTTCCAAGTTAATGACTTTGGAAGAGAAATTACATAACCAAAAGAGAAAAGAGTATGATAGTACTTTCACCCCTCAAAAGAAAACTCTGCCAAATGCAAGAACAGTAAGTTTCATGATGTCATTCTAGTAGAATTGTAATCACTCTTTTCAATTTTTTAATATAAAAGTACATATATAATATATATATATACACATCCTAAAACCATATATTAAAACTGAGTAAAAGACTCACATTGTAAATATGTAAGGACAGAAATAATTAAATTTTTATTGTTAAATACATAAAATCAAATAAATTTATGTTCAAGAAGTTTTTCAGACAAATATATTTAAACATGATACAAAATTGGTAATATGAACCATTTATAAGAAAAAAAGTAAGAGTGGTACCAAAGAATACACAGCATTCAAAGTCCTCCTTAAAGAAAGAGACATCAATGGAATACAAGCACAGCTTAAGAGCAATGGCTTCCTGTTATATAAACACGGGAGAAAACCAATTAAACTATAAAATCAAATCAATCTTAGAAGGTTTGTTTTGAATAACTGCTATTTAAGTGTCTATAGAACATGAAAAAGAAGTAATGCTAATCATATTATTAGAAATCAAGGCAGAGGGCTTGGGTTAGCCCAGGCTGACCTTGAACTTGTGATCCTCTTGTTTTCAGAATGCCTCAGACTATATTTTGAAATCAAGTATGAGTGTGTGGAAGTTCTACTACATAATCTCTCACACTAGTGCAAATTTAATTGTCCATTGTAGAATTTGGTTAAATTAGAGGAAAGTATAGAAATAAATGCACTTGAAGAAAAAGTTACTATTGACATATTAGTAAATGTATGTTCTCAAAATTGATTATGCCATTTCATTTTGAAAAGTGCCTTAACTAAATAAATAAACTTGCTTATATGTGGTTTTTGACTCAGATAATTTCCACATGTAAAATACTGTCATGTTATACTCAACTGGTATCAATTTTAGAAATTTTTTTACTAGAACTGTTGTGATATAAGATTTACCCTTTTGAGTAATTAGACCCATCATTCTTCTATTTCTATGAAATATTTATAAAGTGGATATGGTTTAAACTTACCAAAACTTAGAAGAGGTATTTCCAAAAATATTTTATTATTATTGTTGTTATTATTTGACTTTTATTATTTTGTAAACCTTTCCAATATACTTACATGGATTTTGTTTATTTATATTTTTGGTAGGCTGTTACAGTTTTCTGTATTTTGTTGGAAGCATGTCCTAGAGATAATGACATGACTCTTAGCTCAAAAAATGTGCATATTTCTGTGTGTTTGTGTGTGTATGTGTGTATGCGTGTGCATTTATGTATATACACATGTATTTTAGTAGCCAAACCAAGGCTAAGGAGGATATACGCTCATTTTTCTGAACTAGAGATATAAATACCATTGAGTTAAACTTTCCCATGTTTATCTTTGCCAAAGAACTAAATTCAAGAACAGAAGGAAAGATTAACTAATTTAAATAAACATACATTTTACATTGTATGTTTACATGTATATATTATATGCATACTATTATACATTGTATATTACATTATATACATGTAAATATACATTACACAGAGTGGAAAATAAAAGTAAGTTACAGGTAACTGAGTCCTATAACAACAAAAAACAAGATTTTATGTATAAATATAAAGTATGGCAAAGCAATACAAAAAATTATGTGCTTTAATAAAACATCATTAAGAAACAAAAGACAGAAAATCTAATTTTTATATGACATATTTAAATAGGAAATACCAATATTCAAGTCTTGCCAGTTTCGAATTTTGGTAGCCAACGGCAATAATTAAATAACAAAAATTCATTCCACATTAAAACTTAGTAAGGTCATAAGTCATTGTGTAAATTCTTGTTCTAAGAAAAAGTGATAATGTTTAGAAAACTGGTGGATAAAAAAACCAAGAGAGAATTTATGCTCACATATAAAGAACAAACATTGAAAACACTGCTACCTTAGAGAACAATAAAATTTTCACATGTATCAAAAGACATATCCTGGGAAAGCCTCATATGCAAAAATTTTATTTGTATTTTGAAACTATGGGTTAAAAGCTAAAATTTGATGGCTCATGCTTGTCATACCAGCACTTAGAAAGCAAAGATATGAAAACTACCACTAGTTTGAGGCCAATCTGAGCTATACAGTAAATTCTAGGCCAGTGTGGATTATAGAGTTAACCCAGTCTCAACAACAAAGTTATGAAGCCAGTAAACAAAAATACTAAGGTACAGCATCAAGTCTTATAAAGCAATCTAAGAAAAAAAAATAACTAGTTATCAATCATGCTGAAAAAATTATAAGGATCAAAATATTGACTATTGAAGTTATAGAAACACTTCCTATGAATGGTGTTAGAGTTTGATCTAGATGCTGTGATACTTTTTGGTAAGATTTCCTCTATTATTTAAATGCGAAGACTGACAGCGAGACAAAAAAAAGGAAATTTACAGTTGCAGAAAAGAAATGGTCTCAAAATATTTCGAGATGATTTTCTGTAATGTGCTAGAACACATTATACAAAAAGTTGAAAATTTAAAAAATCAATGCATTTAATTTTTACGAAAACAAATAGCACATATATTTATGAAGTTAATTTCTTCTGCTTTTTTTATAATTACCATGCACAAAGGCAATACACAAAGTAAAGACATGTAATTTAACTGTAAGAAAAAGATACTTACCTTAATAATAGATGGCATCTTGGAATTTAGGTTATCATATGTAAAATGCAGGCGAGTTCTAAAAGAACATTTGTATAATAAAGGATCCTGGTAAAATTCTATTTTACCACTGGCATTTCGTTTATCAAGACAAACTGTACAGTCAGAGAAATTGATAACCTTCCTCAGCACCAGATCTGTTGCTAAAAAGAAAATCACTTTAAGCAGAAAGGAAAAACTAGAACACAAGGACAGTTATTACATTATTATTAGCTAGTATTACAAATAGCCAACAAAACAATGATACCATAAACTATGATTCATGGGCAATTGATACAAGGTGTGAGAAGTTCTTATGTTTTCTTTTACCTATGCAAAGAAGTTCTTATGTTGTGCTTTATTTACCTCAATCCAAAATGTTAGTACAACCTATATGCATAAAGAACCAAATGAGAGCCTAAGTAGATTATACTCAATTTCTATTACGACTAACTATAAATTTAAGACAAATGTTATGAAAATTCACTATGGTTCTTTCCTACAATAAATTCTTGGGAATCCAAAGTAAATATAACTTTTTGAACACTGTTCATTCATTTGGTATTTATTTTCCACTAAAAACTCAGTTCAACTATAAATCTACACTGTCCGACAAAACCGAGGTCCTTGGTTACAGAAGTCATAGTTCAAATAGCTTAAGAGCCAATGTGGCTAACGGTGTGATCAGTGAAGATAAAAAACATTTCAAACATCACCAAAGTTTTAAGGGACAGAAGTGCTGTTAAAAATAAACAAGGGGACATTGACCCTTC